TCTACATATACCCCTTCCCAGAGGGATGAACAACAGAAAAGTGGGTGAATGAAGACAGCAGTTGGTGTAAGACATGGGGGTGGAGGGTGGGCAGGATTTTTAAATTATCAAGGATTCATGAGGGAGGGAGGGGAGGTGGAAAATGAGGAGATGATATAAAGGGCTCAAGTCAAAAGATACTGCTCTGAAAATGATGATGGCAAAATATGTACAAATGTGCTTGACATATGGATGCATTTATGGATTGTGATGAGATCTGTAAGAGCCCCCAATAAAATGATTTTTTAAAAGGAAGAAATAATATTCATATACCTTAAATAATAGGTTTGGATTAACTTTTTGTTTTCATTTTATGGGTTTCTTTTGGTAAACTATTACTCATAATCTAGTTTGTGTAGATTGATTGCACTTATTTAAATATTAACTGTATGAAATAATAAACTATCTTTCAATTTAAAGAAAAAATGTTTAAGCTTATAAATCCACCAGGATATCTGTTGTTTGGCAATTTTTAACTATCCCCAGAATTTTGTTTAATGGCATTGTGTCCCGGACCCTTTCAGATGGATTAGATTTCTCCTGTGTAATCTGGACTCAACCCCATGGAAAATCAGAGCAAGGTAAATTAATTTGTATTTTGGGGGTGATAGGGAAAATAGCAAATAGAGTTACTACTCTTGGCCTTCTTCCAGCTCTGTTGCTTCAATCTTAATGGGGGACTTCATTATTTTACTCATAATCATTTGCAACCATCTAATTGAACAATAAACGTGTTACATTTTCTGGTGCTTCTTCCTCTGTGGTCCTCTGACTGATCAGAGACTTTACTGATAGAGGAAAATATACCCTGTAACAACTGCATGCAGGTCTTCACTCCCATCCACTAAAAAGGGTGGAAATTGTATTTTGGCGTTCATGGCATTTGACAGCTGTGCTGCATATCAGCAAGCATTATTTACATGGTCCTCATGAACCATCACAGGTAGACCATGCTGGTCACAGAGGTCCTGGAGAAAGGTTTTGTCAATCTCTTGCTCATGGTTCTCCATTTACCTTTCTGTAGCCCTATTAAAGTAAACTGCTGCATATACAAGGTGTGCCCTCTTTTTTATGTGGTGTGCAAAGATAGTCACATTGTCAGGGTCTTGCTATTAAATGATGCCAAGTTAATTCTGACTCACACTGACCTTATGTACAAAAGAAAGAACTACTCTTTAGTCCTAATCATCTTCACAATTGTTATATTTGAGCTCATTGTGTAGCTACAATGTGTTATAGCTGCTGCTATTTGGTTATTGCCAGTTCTGGGAGTGTGTCAATTGTGTTTGTTGTTGCTGTTCTATGGATTCTTACATACTTACAGTGTACAATTAGGATCCACTGCTTAGCAAGGGGAGAGAGAGCTATCTTGACCTGTAGTTCTAGTCTATAATTGTGGTTTTATTTTTGTGACTCATCTATACTTCAGTTCTCCCTGTTGGAAGTGAGAACAAGAAAAAGAAAATGTCCGTTTTACACTGGAATCATACCCATGATAAATCATCTAATCTATTCCCTCAGAAAGTGGAGATGAAATTTGCCATGAGGACCTTCCCAACATGGTCACTCAAGACAAATTTGATGCATAAGCAAATGTGGTGAAGAAAGTTAATGGAGCCTGGCTGTCAAAACTTGCAGGGTCCGGGCTATGCTTTCTTGATGATCCTGCAGTTCTTTTGGTCCTGCTTCTGAAGTAACTGTCTTATAGCTAAAGTCATGGCAAAGTCAAGTAATCACCTCTATGAGTGTTTTACATGCCCTATTGGCATGGTCCCACCCAATCACTTGGTGGGAGTCACCAAGACTTGGCT